GTGAGTTCTATCCAGCACGCTCAGGCCTGTCAATAATCTGAACGCTGGTCTTCGAGAAAGAGAATGTAACTTTATTGCAATGTGTAGAACAAGGAGCCAGGAGGAAGTTCCTCAGATCTGACTACCCGAGCTATGGGGAAGCAGGGCTTATATGCGATTTAGGCAGCACGATGGCAGCCGCACAGGTGTACTGGGGAAAATTCTGGAAAGCAGCTGGGAAACAGGAGGCGACATGGTACTTGTCAGACCTCAGCTTCGGAATAGGGTGTGGGTTACGATTTTCCTTCTGATTCATTCCACCTGTTGCTGCGTCCTCTGTTGAGGTCAATTAACGGTCACAGCTGGCCCTTCTGTGCATGCGAGTCAGGCCAACTCTGACTTGGGCCAGTTTAAGGACTGGCATTCATAGGATCAGGTTACACTGCCTTCTGAAATGGTTGAACTTCGACCAGTTCATTTTGGTACAGTGACTGTGTATTCCGCCCATGTTCTTTTGATGCTTCCTGCATCGTTTAATATTTTCCCCATGGAATCCTTCAATATTGCAACTCTAGGAGTGAAATTTTTTAAAGTTCTTTCAGCTTGAAAAATTCCGAGTGTGTTCTTCCCTTTTGATTCTCTATCTCCAGGTCTTTGCACATTTCATTACAATACTTTACTTTGTCTTCTCGAGCTGTCCTTTGAAATCTTCGGTTCAGCTCTTTTACTTCATCATTTCTTCCATTTATATTAGGTACTCTGTGTTCAAGAGCAAGTTTCAGAGTCTCTTCTGACATCCATTTTGGTCTTTTCTGTCTTTCCTGTCTTCTTAATGACCTCTTGCTTCATGTATTATGTCCTTGATGTCATTCCACAACTCATCTGGTCTTCGGCCATCAGTGTTCAATGCATCAAATTTATCTTGAGATGGTCTCTAAATTCAGGTGGGATATATTCAAGGTGGTACTTTGGCTCTCATGGACTTATTCTAGTTTTCTTCAGCTTCAACTTGAACTTGCATATGAGCAATTGATGGTCTGTTCCACAGTCGGCCCCTGGCCTTGTTCTGACTGATGATATTGAGCTTTTCTGTCGTCTCTTTCCACAGATGTAGTCTATTTGATTCCTGTGTATTCCATCAGGTAAGGTCCATGTGTATAGTAGCCGTTTATGTTGTTGAAAAAAGGTACTAGCAATGAATAAGTCATTGGTATTGCAAAATTCATCATGCAATCCCCGGCATTGTTTCTATCACCAAGGCCATGTTTTCCAACTACCAATCCTTCTTCTTTGTTTCCAACTTTCACATTCCAATCATCAGTAATTATCACTGCATCTTGATTGCATGTTTGATCAATTTTAGACTACAGAAGTTGGTAAAAATTTTCAATTTCTTCATCTTTGGCCTTAGTGGTTGGTGTGTAAATTTGAATAATAGTCATATTAACCGGTCTTCTTTGTAGGCGTATGGATTTTATCCTATCGCTGACAGTGTTGTACTTCACGACAGATCTTGAAATGTTCTTTTTGGCTATGAATGCAACATCATTCCTCTTCAATTTGTTGTTCCTGGCATAGTAGACCATATAATTGCGTGATTCAAAATCAGTTTGTTGTACTGTGGTGGCTTGCATGTTGCTGTGATACTGGAAGGTTTGCCACTGGTATTTCAAATACGAGCAGGGTCAATCTTGGTGGACAGGTTTCAGTGGAGCTTCCAGACTAAGACAGATTAGGAAGAAGGAACTGGCAGTCTACTTCTGAAAAAACTGGCCAGCAAAAACCTTATGAATAGCAACAGAACATTGTCTGATACAGTGCCAGAAGATGAGCCCCTCAGGTTGGAAGGCACTCAAAAGACGACTGGGGAAGAGCTGCCTCCTCAAAGGAGAGTCAGCCTTAACGATGTGAATGGAATCAAGCTTTTGGGACATTCATCTGTTAATGTGGCACGACCCGAAATGAGAACAGCTGCAAACATCCATTAATAATGAGAACATAGAATGTACACAGTATGAATCTAGGAAAATTGGAAGTTGGCAAAAATGAAATGGAACACATAAAGATTGATATCTTAGGTATTAGTGAGCTGAAATGAACTGGTACTGGATATTTTTAATTAGACAATCATATGGTCTACTATGCCAGGAATGACAAATTGAAGAGAAATGGCTTTATGATAGTCTGTTCTTAAGTATGAGTTGTCTGTAAGACGGGCGTTTGTGACCTGGGAACTGCCTGTGCATACAATGGAATTATTGTGGGTTGAATTGTGTCCCCCAAAAATGTGTGTCAACTTGTCTAGTCCATGATTCCCAGTATTGTGTGACTGTCCACCATTTTTCCATCTGATGTGATTTTCCTATGTGTCATAAATCCTACCTCTATGATGTTAATGAGGGAGGATTAGAAGCAGTTATATTAATGAGACCTGACTCAATCTACATGATTAGGTTGTGTCTTGAATCAATCTCTTTTGAGATATAAAAGAGAAATCCAGCAGAGAGACAAGGGGACCTCACACCATCCAGAAAGCAGCGCCAGGAGCAGAGCACTTCCTTTGGACCTGGGGTACCTGTGCTGAGAACCTCCTAGACAAGGGGAAGATTGATGACAAGGACCTTCCTCTAGAGCCAATGGAGAGAGAGGGCCTTCCCCTAGAGCTGGCACCCTGAATTTGGACTTCTAACCACCTAAACTGTGAGAGACTAAATTTTTCTTTGTTAAAGCCATCGACTTGTGATATTTCTGTTATAGCAGCACTAGATAACTAAGACAGGAATGTTACTCAGCCGGTATGAGAAAAGAAGTATTTTGTTTTAATTGTACTTTAGATGAAGGTTTACAGAGCAAACTAGTTTCTCATTAAACCATTAATACACATATTGTTTTGTGACATTGGTTGCCAACTCCACGACATTACCAGTTTTCTTGTCCCCTCTTGCTTTCTCATCCCTGCCCTTGAGCTGGTGTGGCCATTTAGTCTCATTTTGTTTTACAGGCCTGCCTAATCTTTGGCTGAAGGGTGAACCTCAGGAGTGACATCAGTACTGAGTTAAAAGGGTGTCTGGGGACCATAGTCTTGGGGTTTCTCCAGTCTCTGTCAGACTAGCAAGCCTGGATTTTTTTTTGTTTGTTTGTTTGTTTTGTGAATTTGAATTTTGTTCTACATTTTTCTCCAGCTCTGTCTAGGATCCTCTATTGTGATCCCTGCCAGAGCAGTCAGTGGTGGTAAGTGGTCACCATCTGTTTGGTCTGGGCTCAGTCTGGTGGAGGTTGTGGTATTTGTGGTCCATTAGTCCTTTGGACTCATCTTTCCCTTGTGCAGAGACCTGGGAACAGGAGAAGGTGTGGTGGGCTTCCTGGCCCATGGAGGGAGAAAGCTGAGTGCCTTTGGGCAGAGGCCAGGGGCCAGGGAGATATGTTCCTGTGAGCATGGCTGGGAAGAGGCTGTCTTGATGGAAGAACTGTATCCTGAGTGTTCCTGAGCCTGAATCATAACTTGTAACCTCCCTAATAAACTCCATAATCGTGAGTATGATCTGTGAGTTCTGTGTGGCCATTGCAATGAATTATCGAACCCAGCAGAGAAGTAGTGCTGTTGGAGGGGTGGTTGGTGCCGGAATTGGTAAAGATGTTGGAGAGAGGAGAATGTCTGACCTCTGCCTCATAGAAATCAGCCTTGGGCTGTTGATCTTGATTCTCTTTCCCTCTTGTGAAGTTAGAGGAGGTCAGATACCGCCCACAAGCCATTTTTACAATGTATGATGTCCTTGATGTCATCCCATAACTCACCTGGTGTTCGGTCATTGGTGTTCAATGCGTCAAATCTATTCTTGAGATGGTCTCTAAATTCAGGTGGGATATACTCAAGGTCATATTTATCTCTCGTGGACTTGTTTTAATTTTCTTCAGCTTCAGCTTGAACTGGGATATAAGCAATTGGTCTGTTCTGCCTTCGGCCCCTGGCAGATGCTATTGAGCTTCTCCATCGTCTCCTTCCAGAGATGTAGTCAGTTTGATTCTGTGTATTCCATTTGGCAAAGTTCATGTGTATAGTCGCCGTTTGTTGCTGAAAAAAGGTATTTGCAAGGAATAAGCCAAAGCCGTTGGTCTTGCAAAATTCTATCATGTGATCTCTGACGTCATTTCCATCACCAAGACCATATTTTCCAAACTATGGATCCTTCTTCTTTGTTGCCTACTTTTGCATTTCATTCATATAATAAGTATCATATGCTTATACTTATTATATATTCCTTTTTAGCTTCATTCACTTCCCCTCTGCCTGAAGTATCCCCCTAAGAAACATTACTGATTATGTCAGTCCCTTGTTTTAACATCTCTCTAGGCTAATTCAGGATTAAATCTTCTTAGCTTGGTCAAAAAGGCTCCTCACAATGTAGTCCATGTCTTTCTGTTACGCCGCATAGAATCAATGCTCCTAGTATGTTAAATTTTTCATGTTACTTGGACACATCAATACTTACATGTTTTTGTTTTATTGCACTTTGTATCCTGCCTAATTGGGCCACCCATTTTTACCTGGCTTTTCTAGATTTAATATTAAAACTTAATTCAAATACCACATCTTCTGGAAAGTCTTCCCTGGCTGTGTTAGCCCTGTCCTCAACATCTCTTCTTTGAAATCTTACAGCACTTGTAAGTCTGCATGTTGATTTGGTTTGTCTGTCTATCTATTAATCTATCATCATTTATCTATCTAAGCTATATAATCTCCTGTTTCACTAAAGCTATTATAATCTTCTTGGACAAGGTTTTGTGTCTCTCAAATATACCAAAAAAAAAAAAAAAAAAAACCCATAACATCTAATAAGCATTGTATACCCTGTGTATATTTTCAGTGTGTATTTTTGTTGATGATGATATTATAGAGGCTAGTTTTCAGCAATGACATTCAAAAGAACAGTTTTACATACAGAGACTAAATGGCCACAACCCTGAATGGAGAAACTAACCAGTTATTTCATGAAGTATTTTGTTATTTATTGCGGCTTTAGGAACATTTACACCCCCATCGACCATCCCAATAGAGTTCTGCAGGCATGGTGGAACCTGGGATAATGGCAGATGTATTTGTACAGAAGAATGGAAAGGTCTGAGATGTACAATCGGTAAGTCACTTGGAATAATACCAGGGTGTGAGGTTTGGGTGACTCTTGTGTTAATAATGATAGAAGCAAAGCTTCTAGAAGCCTCAGTTAACAATTACAGTAACAATAGCCATAATGGTAATAATGTTAAAATATGTTTATCAGTTCCATAAATACATTTTATTGAATTTTTATTGAGTTACTGAGTTTTCTTCCTAGGCTATAGACCTGAACATTGTCTGTCTCCAAATGCCAAGTTTCTCTGTAAACCCATAGTTGCATTTTTTTTTTTTTTTCCTAGCTGCAGGGCCTAAATGAGGGCAAAGTTTGAGATGGTTCCCACAGATCCTTTCAGTTGGTGATATGTCATATTACCCGAATTCAAATATCAAAATTTTAACATATTTACCTTTTCTGAAATCAAGATACAGCTTCCTGTCAAAGTGTATACTTACATAATTTTTTTGTCTTTTTTCTCTTTTCCTTGAAACAACTAAAAAACCCACTGCCATCAAGTAGATTCTGACTCCTAGTGACCCCATGGGGTTTCCAAGGCTGTAAATCTCTATGGAAGAAGCCGATGGTGGTTTCGAACCGCTGACCTTTCAGTTAGCAGTGGATTGCTGTAAACATTGCACCACCAGGGCTACTTTTTCCTTGAAAAGTTATTATTAAATCAGTGGTTTGACTTCAGTCAATGGTATCTTAGAATCAAAATTCAAAGCCACTTGTTGATCTGAAGTGTGCTTCCCAACATTGCACACTTTCTGTTTCCTACTCAGGATCCGGAGCCCTAGAAGCCCCTCTCCTGTCATTTCCGGCACTCCTACTAGTGAGCACATCACAGGCACCCAATGACTTCAGTCTTTTTTCTTTGAACCACATCCTCATAATGCCCCTTGCCACTGGCAAGATCTTTAATTCTCAAGATTGCAACTGGTCAACACACTGTGTGCTAGTGCCCATGTCCCACCTCTACCCAGTTATATATTATGCTTTTTTTTTTTTCCTACACTAACCTGTTACCTAAACTACTAGTATCTCTAATGCCAGTTATCTTCACTAGATACGAAAGTATGGAATTCCCTGGCAGGTCATGGGGTCACGTAGGCCTTCTATCACTCTTTAAATTACACTAGGTAGGTTCTGAACTTTAACTTTGATCTAGTTTCAAACTTGAAAAAGAAAAGTATGCTTAGGATGAATTTTTTTTCTTTCCATTACAGTTAATTTCTGTGAAGAAAGTAATTATGATAATTTAACTTTTCGAAAAATTCCAGCGGGAAAATATGGACCTTCCACACAAACATGTGAAGTAGGCACTCCAAATGGTATGTGTTTTTCAAACATCTCTGCTTAGGCATAAGAATCTCTATGTTGGGTTAGACCTATGGTCCCTCCAACTAGTATCAGGTCCCAAGTATCAAGGAAAGTTTTTTGGATGAGCTTGACTACTTTTCATGATGCCAATGTTCAAAATTTAGGGAAGTACCTCACATAATCTTAATTTTCCTCAAAACTTCAAAATGGATCAGTCGCTTATGAATTCCTGTAAGTCCTTCTTTAATTGGCTTATTTTTTTAACTTATTCTATCTCCTGCTCTTTGAGTTGTATAATTTGTCCCACATTTTTAAATTAGTTTAGATTATAGACTGACATTATATCCACTCTCAGACTCCATCTTTCCAGCTAGAGATGCACAGATAAGTCTATCAACATATGGTAGCTCTTAGTCATTTTAGTTGTGCATCCTGGAAGCTTCTTCATACTTTCTTGACAAAAGAAAATGTCATTTATTCCACATGACAATTTAAAACTTTACATAGAGGCATTCCAAGAGTAAAGTAGCAAATAATATTTCCTGTTTCTAATGTGCTCCCTGCTAATACCCAGGATTTTGATGACTTCTTTGATTTCAGTGCTACAGTGGGCAATATCTTCTGGCAATAGCCTTTAGAAACATATAGATCCCATTCCTGAGAATTAGAGCCCATTATGACACATCACTTTCCCTAAATGTTTTACCTGCCCTTTGCTTACATTGACTTTCATCTGCCTAATGCCTCACCTCTCACATCTTCCTGCAGGTATCCCCCACTTCCTATGGAAGTGGATACCTCCGAAACATAGCCAGTTATTGAAAATGTTTGATAACACCACTGTCAGTAATGATCTTGGGGAGAATTTCACATTTTATTTAGATATTCATTTTATGTGTATGCCAAGAGCTCTTTGAAAGGCTAAATAAATAATAGATACTGCTCTTTCCTATGTACTAATTTACCTTATTTATTCTAAGGGGTTATGTAGATATGCTTTCCATTTATCCATGATCCTACCCTTTACATAGCTTCTTTCAGCCTCTTGACTGAAAGCTCAGAAGGTAAAAGAGGGACTACAACTGTACTGTCAATTATTTCTTACACTGGTATATTTCTTATACCAATTTGTGTGTTAGATATTTCACAATAACTTATAAAATGGGTACAGCTTACAAAAAGTAACTGTATACTACTGAATCAGGAAGAGCAAAAAATGTCAGAAACATACCTATCAAGATTGCCATACTTGTTTGATATGTATCACTTTTGGGGACAAGACAATCGTCACGTTTCATTTAGTTATTTATTTTCTGAGCAACTATTATAAAAATCTGCTTATTATATTTACCTTTGAACTTCAAATTGAGCCTATAAAATAATTTTCAAAGTACAGATTCCAATTGTGGGCAAATTTTCTTTTAGTTTTATATTAATGATTACTTTTAATCACTAGATTTTGCATGGTAAATGACCAACTAACTTTTAAACGATTTTGAGTAGGTACATTCATACTTGTAGATAATATAGAAGAAAAGATGCATTTTAAATATGGCCACTTAAAAATTATTTATGTCCTATATTACTTATGTTTGAAGTTTTATTATGTCATGGAGTACAGGTGGAGCCATTGCATAAGTTAGCTTGACTCAAACCTTCTACTTTAAGTTGTAAACATTACCTCTAATTTCAGAGCTTCCAGCTGTTGCCTCAAGAAGCAGCTGGTCCAAAGCTGGTCCTAAGGGAAGTTCATCTTCTGATCATGTGCCTCTCTAATAACAGCTGAAAGTAATTTTAATCTATTAGCACCCTCTTAAGCATTAGCCATATGTGGACATAGAGCTAGGGAGACTCAGGTGATATCCTAGGAATGATTCAACAAGCATATACTGAGAACCAACCAAATATCTAAGAGGTGCTGCAATTTGATAGAAGCCTCTGCCTTTCAGGTGTTACTCAAATTTAGACAAAGAAAGAAAGACCAAAATATAATTGAACATCTAGTAGGAATTTTTCATATTGTTTCCCTCAGCACAGTATTCCCCCATTACATTCAATTCAAAACGATTATATCCCTCTTGCTGGAAGGCAGATCTTCCTTTCAGACACCAAAGGAAGGAAAGAGGTCCACTGGTCTTTTGAATTCTTGATTTAAAAAAATTCAAGACAACAAGTATTATATACCTAAAATATTTGTAGTAATTGTCTGTGTTATGAAACCACCTCAAACTGAGTGACTTAAAACAATAATGATTTAGATTACTCACAGTTCTGTGAGTTAACTGTGGCAGCAGGGCTTTGCTATAAGGTCCAAAATGACCTCACTCGCATGTCTGGGGCATTGGTGCTGGCTGTTGGCTGGAGTTCTTTGGTACTACTCCACATGGCCTCTCACCCTGTAAACTTGCTTTCTTACATGGAGATTTCAGGACAGTGTTCCAAGAGGATGAAGGCTGAAGCTTCAGGTTTCTTGAGACCCAGGCTCTGGAATTCACAAAAACGTAATTTCTTCCACATTCTATTGGTCAAAGCAAGTCACAAGGGCAACCGAGATTCAGGGAGTGGAGAAATAGGTTCCATCTCTTCCTGGGAGAAGCATCAAAGACCCATTACAAAGGGTCATGTATACAGGAACTGGTGAATGCTGTGGCCATCTTAGCAAACACTTTTTTTTTTAAATCTTTTTATTACAGCGGGATCTCCAAAGGCAACCCGACTGTGCAACCTTACTAAAGATGGAGAGATAAAATTAGAAAATGCAACAATAGGAAATTGTAACGAAAATCTGGAAACATTGGAAAATCAGGTAGGCCTGCCATGTGGCCCATAAGATGGGCAACTGGAAAAAGTTCAGACTATGTGTGAAGCTTTAGTTCTTTAGATACCTTGTGGTCAAATCAATGCCTCCAAGACTCTCAAATCAGAAATAATAAAAACTAGTTACTAAAAGCATTTTTATTTGTTTAATGTTGACATCTGTTTGTGGAAAAGGACAGTTGGGCTTGCTGGTTTTATTTCACCAAATGATATAATCCATAGCGCATTATAAATGGTCTTGTCTTTGTAGACTAGTGAAGTCTTGACTGAAAATGGATCCCAGTTGTCTCAGTTTCTTAGTGATGCTCTCACAGAAATACCATATGTGGGTGGCTTTAAAGAACAGAAATCTGTTTTTTCACAGTTTAGGAGGCTAGAAGTGTGAATTCAGGGCACAGTCTCTAGGGGAAGGCTTTCTATGTCTGCTCTGGGAGAAAATCCTTGTCTCTTTTTCAGCTTCTCTTCCTCGGTTTCTTGGTGATCTCCACATGGTATTAATCTTTCTCCATTTGTGCTTCCTTGCTTCTGTGCCTAATCTGCTCTTTTTATATGTCAAAAGTGATTGGCTTAAGACACACCCTACTATGATATGGTCTCATTAATATAACAAAGAAAACCCTATTCCCTAATGAGATTACATCCATAAGTATGTTGTTGTGTGCCACTGAGTTCATTCTAACTCATAGCGACCCCACGTGACAGAGTAGAACTGCCCTCGGAACGCTGGTGGGTTTGAACCACTGACCTTTTGGTTTGCAGCCGTTGCACCACCAAGCCTTCTTTCAACAAGCATAGGGGTTAGGATCTACAACACATATTTTTGAGGGACACAGTTCAATCCATAGTACCTGTCATTTGATACTAAAAGAAAGGTCTTGCGACGGTCTATTGTATCAGAATGAAGTAAAAACAAACAAAAAACAAAAAGCTATGACTAAAGAATCTTTGAGAAAGGGAAATTTAGACCCTGGAGCTGGGTTCAGGGCTGAGTAGGTGAGATGAGAAGTATGTCTGACTAGTTTTTTTCCATGCAGATTAAATTATTTTGACTAAGGAAGTACTGAGATGCAAATGCATGGAAGAGCTAACACTTGGGGCCTACCACGGGGAGGAAAAGGAAACTCACCTTTATGTAGGTTCTTATGTGTGCCCTGGTAGCAAAGTGGTTAAGAGCTCAGCTGCTAACCAAAAGGTCAGCAGTTCGAATCTACCAGCCACTACTTGGAAACCCTGTGGGGCAGTTCTACCCTGTTCTACAGGGTTGCTATAAGCTGGAATTGACTCGACGGCAACGGGTTTGGTTTTTTTGTGTGTGTGCTGGGCAAGTTACATATGTTAGCTCATTTAATCTTTATAAAATCTCCATGAGTTTGATGTTATTCTCATATTGTAGATAATTACAGTTAATAACACTTACCAGTTATTGAGCACCTTATAACCTATTGCCATAGAGTCAATTCCAACTCACAGTGACCCTATAGGATAGAGTAGAACTGCCCCATAGGGTTTCCAAGGCTGTAATCTTTATGGAAGCAGACTGCCACATCTTTCTCCTGTGGAGTGGCTGGTGGGATCGAACTGCTGACCTTTTGGTTAGCAGTCAAGCACTTAACCATTGCACCACCAGTTTAAGCATGCCAAATACTCTGCAGAGAATTTTACATAGGTTATTATTTTATCAAAGTTCCTGGGTGGCTCAGACGGTTTGTGCTCAAGTACTAATTGAAAGATTGGCACTTTGAACCCACCCAATGGTGCTTCGGGAGGCCCGACAATCTCCTTTCCTAAAGATTACAACCGAGAAAAGCCTATGGAGCTCAGTTCTACTCCATAAGACATGGGGTCACCTTGAGTCAGAATTGGGCTCGACAGCAGCTGGTTTATAAAAATTATTTTATCACATTTAATTCTTATAACCATACACCTGTACTTGTACCCATTGCTGCCAAAGGATTGGTAGAGCTTACTGGTCAGCCTCAAGGTTGCCCCTTGTTGGAAGACAAGTTCTAACCTAAAGTATCCGGTTACTCTCTATCTCACATGGCCACCCCTGGAACCAGGAGCTAACGAAAATCAATCCATCTAGTAACTCAAGTTGTTATTGTTGTTAGTTGCTATTGAGTCAATTCTGACTCATGGTGACCCCATGTGTTACAGAGTAGAAACGCTCCATAATGTTTTCTTGGCTGTAGTCTTTATGGATGCAGATCGCCAGACTTTTCTTCTATAGCACTGCTGTGTGGGTTCAAACCATGAACCTTTAGGTTAGTAGTTGATCACAAATTACACCATCTAGGGATCTTTATAATCACAATGTATCCACTGTATAGAAGAGGAAACTGTGACACAGAGAGCTTGAGTGTTTTGCCCAGTGAACCACAGCCAGGAAGTATCGGGGCTGCCCTTGATTTCAAAGTCCATGCACTTGTCAGTGTACCACACTGGCTCCCTTATCACAGATGGGGATGGGGAGTGACCGCCAACCATACAGGCTTGGGGGAAAGACTGCAGATTCTGGAGTCAGACAAGCCGCTTTTAGCTCCACCACTTAAAAGCTGTGTGAAATCTGGATGAGCTCCTCAGCCTCTCTGAGACTTTCTCAGGTGAAAAATGGGCATGAGAGTGCTCAGCTCATAATCTTGTGTTTCGTATTAAATGTAATAACACCTATAAAACATCTAACACATAGCAAGTACCCGGCTATTGAATGAGAGTTACTCGTTTTTGTCTGTCTGCTGATTGGATATTGTTTCTGACTTCCCCAAGTGTGAATTGCCTGTGACCTTGGTTTGATTTTTGAAATAATGCTGCCATCTAGTGAGAACTAAGCCACCCTCGTGTTGACATCCAACTCCTTTAATGACAATATGAATTAGAATGTTTTAACTTAACAACACAGAGCCATGGGGCCAAATGGTACCTGAAAAAGTTATCTTGGCCAGTGCTTCCCAAATTATCTGTGCTGAAAACCAATATTTTAATTTCCAATCCATTGCAGGCCAATAATTTTTTTGTGTGTGTCTCTTTGGCTTCCTTTATACGTGAATAATTCCTCAGACTTGTCTTTCATGAACTTGACATTTTTGAAGGGTACAGGCCAGTTATTTTGCAGAATGTCCCTGAATTCGGGTTTGTCTGATATTTCCTCACGATTAGACTCAGATTGTGCATTTTTGGCAGGATTGTCACAGAAATGATGCTGTGTCCTTCTCAGTGCATTGCATCAGGAGGCATATGATATGTATTTGTCCTATTACCAATGACGTTAACTTGGATCACTTAGTTAAGATGGTGCCTGCCATGTTTTTCTGCTATTAAATTACTATTTTCTCATTGTAATTAATAAGTATTATGTGGGCATTACTTTGAAATTCTATAATATCTTCTTATGCATGAAACTTTCACTCTCTAGTTTTAGTGTTCATTGTTGATTCTTGCCTCAATCAATATTACTGTGAGAGTTTCCAAATGATAATTTTGTACAATATAACTCTGAAGAGTTTAGTCTTTTGGATGAATTCAAGAACAATTTCATTAAATATTTACATTAAAATTACAGAGGTTTTATAATTAAAATTATATTATCTTTATAAAGTAATTTTGAGAAATTACTGTCGTTTCAATATGGAAACTTCACATCCAGGAACAAGGTATGTGTGTCTATTTTTTTCAGGTCTTGTTTTATGTTTTTTTTTTTTTTTTTGTACTTTAGATGAAGGTTTATACTACAAAAAATTTCTCATTAAACAGTACACATATTGTTTTATAACAAAGGTTAACAACCCCACGACATGTCAACACTGTTCCTTCTCGACCTCACGTTCCCTATTACCAGCTTTCCTGTCACTTCCTGCCTTCTAGTCCTTGTCCCTGGACCATTGGACCCCATTAGTTTCATTTTGTTTTATGGGGCTGTCTAATCTTTGGCTGAATGGTGACTCTCAGGAGTGACTTCATTAGTGAACTAAAAGAGTGTCCGAGGGCCATACTCTCGGGGTTTCTCCAGTCTCTGTAAGGCCAGTAAACCTGGTCTTTTTTTGTGAGTTAGAATTTTGTTCTACATTTTTCTCCAGCTCTGTCTGGGACCCTCTGTTTTGATCCCTGTCAGAGCAGTCAGTGGTGGTAACTGGGCACCATCTAGTTGTACTGCACTCAGTCTGGTGGGGGCCGTGGTAGTTGTGGTCCATTAGTCCTGTGGACTAATCTTTCCCTTGTGTCTTGTTTTCTTCATTCTCCCTTGCTCCTGAAGGGGTGAGACCAGTGGAGTATCTTAGATGGCTGCTTACAGGCTTTTAAGACTTCAGATGCTACTCACCAAGGTAGAATGCAGAACATTTTCTTTATAAACCGTGTTATGCCAGTTTAGCTGGATGTTCCCTGAGACCACAGCCCTCCGACCAGCAATTCAGTCCCTTAGGGAGTTTGGATGTGTCTATGGAGCTTCCATGACCTTTCCTTGAACAAGTTGTGCTGGCTTCCCCAGTATTGTGTACTGGCAGAACAATAATTTTGTAAAATACATAAAAATAAATTCTAGGAAAATGAAAGGAAAAAAGATATACAACATATAAAAACAATTTTTAAAGTATTAGAGTCTATAGCATAAAATTACTATGTCAGATTGCTATATGAACACCCAAAGTTCTAGCAACAAAAGTGAAAATAGATAAATCGGACTTCATGAAAATTAAAAAAAAAAAAAGCTCAATAAAGGACTTTAACAATGAGTGAAGAGACAACCTACAGACTGGGAGAAATTTGGGGGGAGCCATATATTGGACAAGGGTTTAATATGCAGAAATGTATAAAGAACTCATACAACTTAACAACAAAAAGACAACTCAATCAAAAAATGGGCAAAGGATATCTCTATTTGCAGATGATATGATCTTATACACAGAAAACTCCAAAAAATCCACAAGAAAACTACTGGAACTAATAGAAGATTTCAGAAAAGTGTCATGATACAAGATAAACATACAAAAATCAGGTGGATTCCTCTACACCAACAAAGAGAACTTTGAAGAGGAAATCACCAAATCAATGCCATTTACAGTAGCCCCCAAGAAGATAAAATACTTAGGAATAAACCTAACCAGAGACGTAAAATACCTATACAATGAAAACTACAAGACACCACTGCAAGAAACCAAAAGAGACCTACATAAGTGGAAAAACATACCTTGCTCAAGGATAGGAAGACTCAACATTGTGAAAATGTCAATTCTACCCAAAGCCATCTACAGATACAATGCAACCCCAATCCAAATTCCAACAACATTTTTTAACGAGTTAGAGAAACAAATCACCAACTTCATATGGAAAGGGAAGAGGCCCTGGATAAGGAAAGCATTACTGAAGAAGAAGAACAAAGTGGGAGGCCTCACACTACCTGATTTTAGAACCTATTATACTGCCACTGCCACAGTACTCAAAACAGCATGCTACTGGTACAACAACAGATATATAGACCAATGGAAGAGAATTGAAACTACAGACATAAATTCATCCACTTATGAGCAGCTGATGTTTGACAAAGGCCCGAAGTCTGTTAATTGGGGAAACTGGATATCCATCTTCAAAAAACTGAAACAAGACCCATACCTCACACCATGCCCAAAAACTAACTCAAAATGGATCAAAGACCTAAATATAGAATTGAAAATGATAAAGATCATGGAAGAAAAAATAGGGACAATGCTAGGAGCCCTAATACATGGCATAAACAAATTACAAATCATAAGTAACAATGCTCAAACACCAGAAGAGAAACTAGATAACTGGGAACTCCTAAAAATCAAACATTTATACTCATCAAAAGACTTCACCAAAAGAGTAAAAAGACAACCTACAGACTGGGAAAGAATTTTTGGCTATGACATATCCTATCAGGGTCTAATCTGTAAAATCTACAAGATACTGCAAAACCTCAACAACAAAAACACAAACAGCCCTATTAAAAAATGGGCAAAGGATATGAACAGGCACTTTACCAAAGAAGACATTCAGGCAGCTAGCAGATACATGAGGAAATGCTCACGATAGTTAGCCATTAAAGAAGTGCAAATCAAAACTACAATGAGATACCATCTCACCCCAACAAAGCTAGCATTAACCCAAAAAACACAAAATAATAAATGTTGGAGAGATTGTAGAGAGACTGGAACACTTATGCACTGCTGATGGGAATGTAAAATGGTACAACCACTTTGGAAATCGATTTGTCCCTTCCTTAAAAAGCTAGAAATAGAAGTACCATAGGATCCAGCAATCCCACTCCTTGAAATATATCCTAGAGAAATAACAGCCATCACACGAATAGATATATTCACACCTGCGTTCATTGCAGCACTGTTCACAATAGCTAAAAGATGGAAACAACCTAAGTGCCCATGAACAGATGAACGGATAAACAAATTATGGTATATTCACACAGTGGAATACTGCTCAATGATAAAGAATTAATGATGAATCCGTGAAACATCTCATAAGTGAAATTAGTCAGTGGCAAAAGGACAAATATTGTATGAGAACATAGTTACAAAAACTCAAGAAAAGGTTAAACACCGAAGAAAACATTCTTTGATGGTTATGAAGGGGAGGAGGGAGGGAGAGGGGTATTCACTGACTAGATAGTAGAAAAGAATTATCTTGGGTAAAGGGAAGGACAGCACACAATACAGGGGAAGTCAGCATAACTGGACAAAATCAAAAGCTAAGAAGTTTCCTTAATACAATCAAACACGTCGAGGGACAGAGTAGCAGGAGTAGGGGTTTGAGAACCATGGTTTCAGGGGACATCTAGGTCAACTGGCATAACAAAGTTTATTAAGAAAATGTTCTGCATCCCACTTTGGTGAGTAGCATCCGGGATCTTAAAAGTTAATGAGCGGCCATCTGAGATGCATCAATTGGTCTCAACCCACTTGGAGCAAAGAAGAATGAAGAACACCAAAGACACAAAGTATTAGCCCAAGAGACAGAAAGGGCCACATAAATCAGAGACTCCATCAGCCTGAGACCAGAAGAACTAGATGGTCCCAGCTACCACCCATGACTGTCCTGACAGGGAACACAACAGAGAGTCCCTGACTGAGCAGGAGAAAAGTGGGGTGCAGAACTCAAATTCTAGTAAAAAGACCAGATTAAATGGTCTGACTGAGACTAGAGGAAACCCAGAAGACATGGTCCCCGGACTCTCTGTTAACCCAGAATAAAAACCGTTCCAAAGCCAATTCTTCAGGCAAAGATTAGACTGGACTATGGGACTTAAAATGATACTCGTGGAGAGAGTGCTTCTTAGCTCAAGTAGATACATGAGACTAAATAGGCAGCTCCTGTCCGGAGGTGAGATCAGAAGTTAGAAAGGGGCAGGAGCTGGTTGAATGGACATGGAAAATCTGGGGTGAAAAGGATGATTGTGCTGTCTCAGTATAGAGAGAACAACTAGGGTCACATAAAAATGTGTATAAATTTTTTATGAGAAAGTAACTTGAGCTCTAAACTTTCACTTAAAGCACAATAAAAAAAAAATTGGGCAAAGGACTTAAATAGACATTTCACCAGAGAAGATATACAAATGGCCAACAAGCACATGAAATGGTAGTCAACATTATTAGCCATTAGGAAGATGCAAATCAAAATCACAATGAGATACCACTTTGCTCCCAATAGGATAGCTAAGATAAAAACAAAACAAAACAAAACAAAACAAACAGAAAACAACAATGCTGGTGAGGATGTGGAGAAATTGGAACTTTATCCGTTGCTAGTGGGAAATGCAAAATGGTACAGCTGCTATGGAAAACATTTTGGCAGTTCCTCAAAAGTTAAACATAGAGCTACAATATGACCCAAAATTCCACTCCTAGTTATACACCCAAGAGTCTTGAAAGCAGTGACACAAATAGACACACGTACCCCAATGTGTATTGCAGCACTATTCACAATAGCCAAAGGTGGGAACAACCTAAATGCCTACCAATAGATGAATGGATAAATAAAATTTAGTATATACACATACACAAAGGAATATTACTCAGCTATAAAGAGAAATGAAGTCCTGATACATGCTACAACATGGATGAAAACATCATTCTGAGTAAAGTAAGCCAATCACAAAAGGACAAATACTGTATGATCTCACTTATATGAAATATTTAGACTAGGCAAATGTATAGAGATCAAAGTTTATTAGTGGTTACCATGGGTGGAAAAAAGGGAAAAGGGGTCAGTCATTGTTTAGGAAGCACTGAGTTTCTGGTTATGGTGTTGGAAAATCTGGCAATAGATATTGGTGATGGTTGTACAACCTGGTTAATGTAATCGGTGTCACTAAATTGTACATATGAAAAATGTTGAATTTGCAAATGTGTTACATATATTTTTACAACGATAAAAAAAGAATCACAACTAAAAATTTATTTCCTTTCTGCAAAAAATAAAAATGCTGTATTAGTTTCTGAACAGTTACTCTCAATTTCTGTGCCTGTCTCCTGGTAGGCTTATAACAAACCACTGACATTGGTCCATGGACCACTCTTTGAGTAGTGCTGGTCTAGCTAAGGCAGTCTGTATAGTTAATTACTCTTGGCAGGCCAAAAGGCTAGGAAAACCACTAGCCTGCATGTACTTCGTACTTTACTAAAGGATAGAAGCAAACATGAAAAACTGAGTGGATGTGATGTTCAGGAGACTGAGGCTCTGATAAATTCCAGCTTATTAATTTGCAGTTACTTGCAAAGTGTTTAGACACAGATGTATAAAGCAAAGTTTTATTTTGTTTTTTAAACAGATATGTAATACCTCACAGCAAGCACAAAAAATTTCTGCTGAAGCCCAGATTTTAACATTTAATGCTAGTAAATTAACTGCGGATAACATCACTTCTGCTGCTAATGTGGTTGGAAACATCTTCAACAGCCCTGCAAATGAAACTGAGGTAAAACTTTAAGACTTAAAAAAAAAAAAAAAAAAAAAGAGGAATGAAAAAGAAAACAAAGAGATCCAAACTCCAACATTTACCATGATACAGGATCAGGAATGGTTTAGGTTGCTTAAAATTGTTTTTGTTTAGTACTCTTTCTGAGAGATTCTCAAAGGGAAAACGGAAGGGCTCCTTGTTCAACTATTCACCTTTGGGATAGCCACAATGAACATTGTCAAGTCTATTTCACTTTATTATTAAGTTTACCAAGTACATTTGACGTCATCAATTCTAGTCTATTCCAAGTAACTAGTGTTCCAAGGAACTCACTTTGGAATATGCTATCTTAAACTGTGATTCCTTTCTACTAATTCTATTTGCATTTTCGTCTTAGCTTTGTGACATCTTTAAACCTGGTTTACATTTCAAATAACCTACTAAATTCTGGCACCTGAAAATCAGGACAATAGTTAACATTTCCCAATCAGTACTGGTTGGGCATTGGTCAAGCATGGCTATAAACCACCGATAGAGACTGACCCAGTGTCTACCAGCTGAGTATCGGCATGGTCTGAAAATATCACTCCTTTCTTCCATTCCCATTAAATGTCTTGTCTCAAAAAGATTTTGTTACCTCAGGTCCTTTGGAAAGTAGATGGGATTCAAATCACAAAACAGATTAAATGAAACTGAAAGAGAAAAATATCGACCACCAAATGTGGAATCTGTGGAAGGATTAGCCAGTAAAGACAGAAAGGCAGCGATACCCGAAAGAGGGCAGTTAAACAGTAATAGAAGGTGAAGAGATCACCTGCCTGGTGTACTCTTGATTTTTTTTGGTTGTAAGAAAAACTAGAAAGAGTTTTCTTAAGTAATAACATTATACTAACTGTTGTGGGCTGTAATGTTTTAACAGCCAGAGCCCTTGCATTCTTCTTATTCTTTTTCTGCCTTTATTTCTCAACATTTGCTTTTGTGCTTTTGGAGGTGGGAGGAGTATTCTGTCAAACGCTTTGCTAGGAGGTCAACTTCAAAGACCCAAGTATCCTGACTACCTCAATTTATATTTTTCACTTCACCTTATCTTGATTCTCTCTGCCACCTTATATAGACCAACAACTGAGCATTTAATTTTGAAAAATAATTACCCCTAAATTACCATACCAGTGGTGCCACTTACTACCAAATAACTCGGTGATGGCAGTGGTTTTGATGTATGATATGCATCTTCTATGATTATTGGTGCTTTCTCCTTGACAGGCAAAAAGAATTGCTGTAACGACGGTGAGTCAGCTTCTAGATGCCAGTGAAGATGATTTTCAAAGAGCTGCTGATAGTGATAAGAATAATACCTTTAAAACGTAAGCACAATTTTAATTTGGAAAGAACATTTAGCAAAGTGCTGTTTATTTTCCTATGTTAAAGCATCAATGGAGGTGTCTGTATGTCTCTCATGGATGTACTAACTGACTGATTGTTCTGGAATACAGATGAAAGCCTCAGCTTTTTGCCTACTCTTCTCTTACTGAAGTCCCTAGGTGGCAGAGAAGGTTTGTGCTCAACCACTAGCCTAAAGGTTGGCAGCTTGAACCTACTTTGCAATACTTTGGAAAAAAGGTCTGGTGATCTTCTGTAGAGATTACAGCCAAGAAAACCCTATGGAGCACTTCTGCCCTGTAACACATGGGATCAGCGTGAGTTGACTAACAACAACAACTTGAATTACTAAATGGAGTGATTTTTGTAACTCCTGGTTTCAGGGGTGGCCATGTGAGACAGAGAGTAACTGGATACTTTAGATTAGAACTTGTCTTCCTAGCCTTAGTCTGGCAACAAGGGGCAACCTTGAGGCTGACCAGGGAGCTCTTGCAACCTCTTTTCAACATACAGAGAGCAGCATAACATTGCAGGAGACTTGCCAACCCCCTACCCACACCTCAGCTCTCTTCCCAAGGCTCTGCTTTATTTTGATTATGCTTTCTTCAGCTTTCCCAAGGCTATATTGAAAAAGAAATCTATTTTCTGGGTTTTTTTTGGTTTTATGCTTACACTAAAACTTTTATACTTTATTCGTAGAGGCCCTTCACTGGGATTTACTTTTTTTTACCTTCTATACAGTTTTCTAAACCCATCTAAAATTTAAGTAAATATGCATGCTAATTATATAAAAATAAGAAAATATATAGATGAGAAGAAAAAATTTAAACTAGCCTACCTTTATTAACCTGGTGGTATCTATTCTTCCAGATTTTCCCCTCTGTTTGTGTTTGTAAATATAAATATATATTATGTTGATTTACAACTTGTTTTTGTCACTTAATGCCTTATAAGCATCTTTTTAATATGATGTACATATACATCTACATTATTATTTTAAATTACTGCATAATAAGAGCAAACTTTTATTTAACCAATTTCCTGTTGGATGTTTAGATTGCTTCAAGTTTTTTAGTATCATGAGCAATCAACATTCTTGTACATAATCTTTTTTTTTTTCTGCTTAAACAAGTCTTTCATTTGCTTTACCCATTATTTCCTTAGGGGAAATTCCTAGAAGTGATTTTCTGATTTTCTAATTATTACAACATTATCTGTTTGGTGGTGAGCACTCAAAACAGAGAAAGCACAAAAGCACAAACTAGAGAAAGCATTCAGAAGATTGTAATTCTGAGAGATGGTGGTAGAGGTTGTGTGCACATTTGAACGGGTGTATTTTGTGACTTAAAATTTTAATAGGAGTCTGGACCCTTCTTCACTAGGGGTGTGAACATCTCACATTTTTCTTAAAGTAGGAGAATGAAGTAGCTGTGAAGTCCAGAGTTTATGTTGAGTGAACGTGGAGGCCCAGAGCTACTATGGCCTAGAGGTTCTGTGTTTGCAGAGTCTTGCTAGAGGAAAAGGGGAAGATGGATGCTTTTTATGAGAAAGCTGAGAAAAGAGCAGCTGTGAGATTTGGCTGATAAAGTCACAGATCACCATGCAGAGGGGAACAATGTCCTACCAATAAGTAATTATGAATTTTTACTGGAAGAAAACATAATTCTGTGTGATTTCTGTTTAATATCAAAATGACTTCAAATGAAGTGGTTGGAGGATAAATAAAAAATTTAAAGGTAGAACACATTGGATATGAAATGATATGTTGTTGTTAGTTGCCGTCGAGTTGATTCTGACTCATGATAATCCCTTATGTGCACAGTAGAATTGCTCTAAAAGGTTTTGAAGGCTATGGCTTTTTTGGAAGCAGATTGCCAGGCCTGTCTTCTGAGGCACCTCCAACTGTGTTTGAACCACCAACCTTTTGGCTGGCTGTAAAAATGGTACTGCAGCATCTGACCTCCTCATCTAACTTCACAAGGGGGAGAGAGAATCACCATCAACAATATCAGCCCAAGGCTGATTCCTAAGAGGTGGAAGTCAAACATACCTCCTCTCTCTAACATTTTACCAATTCTGACACCAGACATCCCTCCTATGGCACTCTGAACTTCTCTGCTGGGTTCAATAATTTGTTGCAATGGCCACACAGAACTCACAAATACTCATGATTACGGGGTTTATTAGGGAAGTAACAGGTTACAATTTGAGATCAGGATCCACAGGCTACAATTCAGGATCAGGATCAAGAAGCTAAGTCTCCCTTCTTCAGTGCAGGACAGCTCTCTTAGCTCCTCTCAGCTGTGCAGGCCTCCTCTCAGTCCCCTGAGGACAGACCTACTCTCTTGGCCCTCAGCCCTTGCCCCTGCTCAGGCCTGGACTCTGCCCTGCTCAGGGAAGGTTACAAAGTTCTTTAGCTCTGCTGATAAATGCCCAGAGGTACCCACTCTGCCAGGAAGCCTTTTGCCCTAAGGCACTCAGCTCTCTTGCTCCATCGGTCCGCAAGCCTGGCTCCACCAATAAGTGCCCAGAGGCACCCTACTATGCCAGGAAGCCTCTTGCCCAAAGGTGCTCAGCTGTTTCGCTCCATAGTTCAGCACGCCTACTGTAGCTTCCTCACTCGGTGGGCTGGGAAGCCCACTGCACTGTATCACATTGGTCTCCTGGTTCTGCTGCTGCCATTTCTCTGTTGCTGGATTTTGCCATGCCTGCTGCTGCTTCTCACTGTTTCCAGTGTTACAGCTCTCTCTGTCTCCTGAGTCTAGGAGTTTCTCAGAACAGAGACCTCAGGTCCAAAGGTTTTGGTCCACTCCCAGCTCTTCTTTCTTGATGGTAGTGAGGTCCCCTCTCTGCTCTGGGATTGGCTTTCTTTTAAGCCTAGCAGGACAGCAAAACTGATCAATTCCCCTTGTTAGGGTTCCATACACCTTATTTGCATGATCCCACCCCCACAGGTGTCCCATGCACCTTATTTGTATTAGCAGCATACTGTCTAATCCCTTTGGTGGGCCACAAGCACCTTGTTTGCATAGTCCCCCTGAATCGTGCTGGACTCACAAGACCATGCCTGGCTAGAAGGACCATATTAAGTAATTCACTGCACTGCACTAGTAGTCCAGTGCTTAACCATTTGCACCATCACCTAGGGATTCCATGAAATGATATAACCACACTCAATCCCTCCTTCCCACTCTGAATTTCTAGGCTACTTATTACTCTAATTAAGAACTGTCACTTTACCCTCTACCATGTGCTCTTTTGCATAAGTTCTTGTGGACTCAGACACTTCATTCACTAAGACAAGACTTTTGCTTCTGCCTCTGCCTCATGATCAGGGCACCAAGCCCTTAGCTCTCCTCAGGAGAGTACTCTTGATGAGCTGCCAAAAGAAGTCATCTCTCACTCTTCACTCTCCGCGGAGAGGGAAATAAATTGTTTTTTGGGGCAACTCTTTCTTCCCAAACTACATCCCCTAAACTTAGGCCTGTGTGCAAGATCTCCTGACAGATACCAGGCCTCAGTCATCCATGTAGCTTTGACTTTTCCCTTCTTTTATTCAGAGTTTCCACTTTGTGTCCTTGAGCTATTAAACTCCCTTTCTACACTTGTAGGGAGAAGAAGAGAAGGCGAGAACAAATCCATCCAGCTTCAGTCATCTCAAGTGGTCATAGTAAATTTCTCTCAAGTAGGTTCTCTGTTTCTAAATCAGGAGGAGGTTTTGTGGTTGTTGTTAAGTGCCATTGAGTCAGTTCTGACTCATAGTGATCCTATGCACAACAGAACTAAACACTGCCCAGTCGTGTGCTGTCCTCACAATTGTTATGCTTGAGCCCATTGTTGTAGCCACTGTGTCGATCCATCCTGTTGAGGGTCTTCCTCTTTTTCATTGACCCTCTACTTTACCAAGAATGATGTCCTTTTCCAGAGACTGATCCCTCTTGACAACACGTCCAAAGTATGTGAGATGAAGTCTCACCATCCTTGCTTCTAAGGAGCATTCTGGTTGTACTTCTTCCAAGGCAGATTTGTACGTTCTTTTGGCAGTCCATAGTATATTCAATATTCTTTGCCAGTACCACAATTCAAAGGGAGGGGGAGGTAGAATGTTGAAATGGATGGAGTTCTTGAGCCAGGGGCAGGGGCTCTGCTAGTGAGGGCATCTTAGTACAATCAATGAGTCTAGAACTTCATTTCTCCATTTTGAATAGCCATAGACCAGCAAAAGCTGAGCCCTTCAAAACGTTGTTGTCACACTCAGGCTCATAATTGTCCTTGTCTACCTAGCTTTGGTAATGTAAAACTGCTTCCCTAACACGGTCTGCCTCATACATTTACATTTCACATTTCTGGTGGTATTTCTGTTCCAGGACGCTTTCTTTGGTTACAAGAGACTCACACAAATTACCTTAACCAAACAGGGATTTATAGTAAGGAGGTCTATAAGATCTCATGGGAACCCAGGAACAGGCATATAATACAGCTGGGCCCTGTGGACACTGGAACAGGGAGATGACTGTGAATTCAAGGCCTCTGTGGAGATCTCAGTGGAAGAGTTTGTGAGTCTTCCTTGTGAGATAACATAATGATTAGAACCACAACCTTTGGAGTCAGACAGGCCTAGGTTCAAATCCTAGCTTTGTCATTTAGTAGCTACTTGATTTTGGTCGAACTATTTAATATCTCTGTACCTCAGATTCTTTAATGCAAAATGAGGAAAGTATTGGCATTTACCTCAATAAGATTCTTGTGAGGCTCAAATGAGATAATGTGTATAAATCACTAGCATAATACCTGACTTATAGATAAGGAAGAATTGGTTAGCTATTGTCTTTATGATTAACATGATTCAAAATCACATGCGTCTCCTCTTATTGTTTCTGTTCTCTCATAATTTAACCCTGTCATGCTATAATGACCTCTCTGGCCTACTCTAAACCATGACTTTCCTGATATAATTCCTACACTAACTTGAAAATGCTTTCCA